TATCTGTGCTCTTGTGCATCAGCTTAGTTTGTTGTAGTTTCAGACTTTATAATTCATCGGCCAAATCCTTATGTACCCGATAGCGAAGGGTTAGCGGCTCTGCTGGGACAGTCAATAGACGACCCACTCCTGAGATCTCAGACATTTCCCATCTACCCCACCATCAAGCCGGAGCCTTTTGACTACGCAGACCACTATCTGCCAGCTCAGATACCTGACTATTCAGCATTTCATACACCAATCAGTTACTCGACAATGATTTCTCATGCTGCAAATTCAGTACCTCGAAGCGCCTCCAACTCAGGTGTCGCTTTTTTGTACTTGCGATACTCTCTCGAAGTTTAAGCTCATCTGCTCGTATTAAGGTTCAAGCAGATCTTCTCCAGTTCTCCCTGTCTGTCCGATCCCAACGGAGAAGACAGTGGATGCATTTTACGTAAGCAATAACGAAATGGAGTGGTTGTTGAGAGCTCTGCCTGAAAGTCCACGGTAAATTGTATTTTTGCTTGACTTTCATGCTTTGAGAAAAGCGGCTATGCGGATGCCAGCTGCAAGTTCACTAGAGAGCTCGAAACTCTTAATGGAGTCGAACAAGCATCATGCCTTCGAAATGTTAACCATTTCCAGAATTTTATCGATCCTTCGAAACGTGGACAAATCGGATCCATTCACTTATTCTATGGCTGTAGTGGAGGCAAACCTGAACGATCTTGTAACTTGGGCCAAAAATGCTCCCTATTTTCCTCAGCTTGAGGTCTGTTTGAGCTTAAATTCATTGAGCATCAGGAGTGTCTCGCACTGTGATCATCCCTCGTTCTCCACATTTCCAAAGTGGCCATATCCGGTGTTAAGGAAACATCAAAACTGTTCCGTCCTCTCAACGCAATTATATACAACACCGCCTTTTGAGCGCACTCGCAATTCATGCGCTATTCGCTAAATTGACAAAGCGTAAATGTGCCGCCCTTATTGTACCCTGGAAACAAAACACCGGCACAGCCATAATGAAGAACTAGGGGTCACTAGCGGATCGAGTGCGGGACAGTCATGTGGCAGATCCACTCCAGTAGTTACCGCAAACCTTACAGATGGAGGATCAAATGCTGATCCTGCAGTCATCTTGGGCTTCCATACATGTAATAGATGTCAGTTATGCAGTCCTCAAAGGCGAGATCTCCCATATCGTGAAGCTTTCTAATGGAGTCGAGTGAGTACAATTTTTCGTAAAATTTCTCCATCGCACATGTCTCCATACCATGCATGAGAGCAAAAGAAAGGATCTCTTGTCGCAGTTTGCGTAACCTCATGACGCTATCTATACCATATCTGATAGCTCTCGCTAGCAACGCGGCATTTTGCTTTCGTCAAAGGTTTACGATCATGATGAGGTCATGAGATACTCGCAGTTCGAATCCAAATATATCCCTCACAACCTCCGTCATGTTGAGGCAGATCATTACTGATGACTCTCTAATATGCGCTCGTTTCCAGTATTCCAACTGGACTGATTGCGCTCATGGGTTACCATATCCATATTCACAAGTGGACAGAACTTGTTGGTAGACTGCATGCCCTCGGCTTTGACCGATGTGATTACGCTGCTTTCAAGTTTCTCGCGTTTTATCAAAAAATCGAGGATCAGAGTAAGTCATCTTCGCTATTCTTTCGTTTTTTGATGATTTATGTCTTGTATCTTCTAGCTGAAGTGCAGCTGAAGAATCCGCACCACATTCTGAAAGCTCGCGAATCCCTTCTGGCGTCTTGGGGCGCATATAGAGGCACGTCGAATGCTACCTTGCTGCCTCACTACGAGATTTTCGTGCAAATGAAGTGAGCATTTACTCTTGTTGCATGTCACTTTCACTATTCTTGTGCTGTAGTCTTGGTAGCCTTGGCTGAAGTGCCTGTGCCGCTCTCCCATTCGTTCTTTAATGACCTTGAACGTGCCGAGATTCAGTGCGGATATGCTGCGCGCTTGACTTCCTCGAGTACCAATTAGCATTCAGGGACCTGTAATTACTGTATGTCATTACTGTAGCCCAACGGAGACATTCCCACAAACTGTAAAGGAACGGTCAATTTGCATATGTAGGCTGGCAACGCAATAGAGGCTATCCTGGGTCAGGCAATTAGCGGCTCGAAAGTGCAAAAACACGGTCCCTGCAATGAAGACATCGAATCTCGCGACATTGTCACCAATGTCCATGTACAGGCTATTGATGGATCCCGATTAACATTGATAAGAGGCCAAATCAGTATAGCATGATTGCATTGCAAACCGCGCTACCTTGTTATTTTTGAGACCAGTTTAAATGGCGAAATATCCCGCAGACGTCACGAAAGTAAGCGTGCGCAAAGGTTTCTCGCGCCGCGAAAATTCTCTTGGAGATTGTGAGCGTTGTTGACCTTGGTGGCATAAACTATAGTATGAGTCGCAGAGAAAAATTCGATTAGATAACGAGAGCGGTGCATCCACAGTCCATTCTTTCATGTTTTTCATTGCAGAACGCTGGCACAGGCGTCACAGCACTTCCTTGTCGAACGCAGCATAGCCGGAGCGGTGCGACTCCCTCTGCTGTCCGAGATGCTGAATCCTCTGGTGAACCGATCGCTCCCAAACTATGTACGATAGCTTATATACGCTTAGATACCTTGCGCTTCTCCTTATGTACGCCTGTGATCACTGATTGTGCGAATGTCACTAAGAAATTATATACATATATATAGCATAACCTTGCAATAATGCGTGTTCAGCGAAGTCCTCTTTTCTTCATCAGTAGTGTGTCATTCTAGAACTGCTGCGTGTCATTTAGTAGCTAACTCGCTGCGTTATACAATTTTTTGTCTCTTTTCCTTCTTTATTATGTACCGATTTGACGCGCAAGCGTCGATCTCCTATGGCTTTTCGTTACGGGACGCCTGCCTTTACATATGCCTCTACTTGAGCCCCCCGGGTTTCGCGGTACTCTTATCAAGTTGCTATCATATACATATCTGCTTGGTCTACTCTACTTGAAACATTCCATGTGTATAGGTAAAAATTGGATATACGCTGCAAGTTCTGTTGTTGTAGTTTGCCAGTGTTTAAAAACTCAGTTGATTCTCCTTTTATCGGCTTATACAGCTTTCATTGTTTCCCTTCTTTGTTGATAACGGAATAGTGTACAATAAAAATACTGTATAAATGATCACATTCTATGACCGGAGGAATGATAATGGAGGTTTGCCATGATCTCTGAAGAGATAGGTACATAGGTTCCATGCCTTAGCTATCGTGTAAATGCCTTAGCCTTCTCTTACCCATCTGGGTATTATGATTGATGTAGCTCATAAAATATAAAGCTAATTTTATTCTAGAATCTGAAGCCATGCAACTCGTAATTTGGTTCAAGACAGTGCTTCAAAAGACACGGCACATTGGTCGAAGAGCATAGATGAACAAACCTTGCATTACGACGCTATCTGAGCGATCTTTCTCGAATGGTTCGATATCAGTAGAGTGATCATGAAAAATCCACTATTTAACACTTTAAGCAAATCACTGAAGAGATAACAGCTTGATAGTAAATCTAATGGAGCAGAGAAAACTATGAGGAAAGTAGACCGAGTCGTCTCAAGTTATCAGTGCCCTTCACTTGTTCCACGGGGTAGCATTCCATTCTTAGGTCATTGCTAAATCCGAGTCTTGCCTCTTGAAAAGGGAGAGGTTTCCCCTCCTTGTTTTTGGAAAACAGCTTCTGGAGCTATTCTGTCTCACTAAAGTCATCGCAGAAATTTCGAGCACTCATTTAGAAAGCCTCGGAATTCGCAAAAGGTTCGCGTTTGGTGGACGAAATAGATGATAGAGGAGTGGTAGAGGAGCTGCACACTTGTATCGTTCATACATCCATCCTCTCTAGAGTTTTCTCAACACGTATTCATACGCGAAATCCAATATTATGCTCATAGAAGACTACATTTTTTGACAGTCATCAAGTAGAAGTCTTCTCAGATTTCTCTTTCTGCATCTTGAAATTTTACGTGCACTTGACATTTTCAGAGGCCTATGTCTGATGTTACAGTTTCCCCGCTGCTTCGGATTTTACTAGTGATCAGCCCCAGCGGATTGAAGTAGTCTTCAGGGCTTGCTATATACAGTTGAAGGAAATTATAGGCACCAAATGCAAGACCAAAGAAGGGGGTATGAGCACTTTGTAA